ATTTACATCACATTCAACTCAATATATTAAGACAGTAAATATATATACATTTTCTTTTTTTGCATTGTTCAAATATTCGTGTATTCCTATTTCTACAATAAACATATAATTTTAAATAGTTAACAATATAGATCCTACATATATTTTTTTTCAATGAAAAGAATTAAATAGACAACTTATTAATTAGTTGTGCTGTTTTCATTTTGATTTTGATTTTAATTTGATTTGAAATTTGGTGTCATGTCAGGTTATGCAGAGTTTTTATTATACGAACGTCCCTAGCCAGAGAAGAAGCCTTGCACACAAGACTTTTATATATAAGCAGTCGTCATAAGGAACAGAAAAGATGACAGAAAAAAAGGGCATGGAAAACAACGGGGAAAGCCATGACAGAAGTGGTAGTTGTAGGATGGCAAAATTCACATGTGGCCTTGAGCTGGTTACTGTTCCTACACACACAGTCTTCTCCGTAGATGGTGATGGTGATGGATAGATGTTGTGAGGAGAGAGAGAACACCCAAACCTCTCACAAACTCTCTCTCTCCAACGGCAGATGAATCCCTAGTTGCTCCTGCGACACCATCCATACCTTCCATCCGACGACAACCTCGTTTCGCTCCTCCGATGAACGTTGCTCCCCCTCCACTTCTACACACTTCAGCTCCATCTGGCTGGAACACCTCACCATGTAGGACTAGCCACCCTTTAACCTTTTCACTTTTTCTCGTCTTCTCTTTCTTCTTTTTCACATCCATGCCTTAGTCTTGCACTGAATCGCATGAATTTGGCTTTCATGCTTATTTTAGACTTATGATTTAATATAAGAAGAACATGTTAAAAAAAAAAAAAATAACAAGTATATATGTATTAAACATCACAAAAATTACGGGGTGGGGGTTGGACTTAAAACCTTTCCTGTGTGGATCTTTCTCAATCATAGTAATTCAAATGCTTGTTGACCTCTTGGATCAAGCGACAATGACTGAAATCAACTTACGATTTTAAAATTTCATATGATTAACCGTCAAGAGTTTATAATGGCATGAACAAATATAGAAATGTAGAGTTTTGTGTAAAATTATTCCAAGTTTATGGTAATATGTGGTTGATTTGTAGCTTGAGAAGTGATAAGTGAGAACTGGAAGCACTCGAGTACATGGGCTGTTGCTAGTGACATTAGGCTTCTGTCTATGTGGTTTGGGACGTTAATACTGTGTGGCTGGCGATGTGTCCATCCAAGGTTTCCATTCTTCATAGTCTTATTTTTTCACCCAGAAATGTCTCTGCTCAAACGCCAAAGGCTTATGCAGTCTGGTTCTCTCATTACCTTCGTCCCCTTAAGATGTTTTTGCAGACTATAAAGCTTCTCACTCTCCCCCCCCTTTTTTTGGTTTTCTTCTTCACTCAGTAATTAATTAATGTCCTTATTTCTTATCTAACTCTCTACCAAGGCCTCACCTGTACACAAATTAACAAGCACAACATTTAATGCTTATTGCTATTTTTACTTTCTTTCTCGTCTTAAATTATCTTTAGTGTTTAAAGTTTATCAATATATAATTTTGTTGTAAAATTTTAATAATTTTTAATTTTTTAATAAACAAATAATTTTTGATTGTCCTATCTAAGAATAGAGGTCAATATTAGATTATATGTTAAGATTAGGTATTTTATTTTATGTGACATAGTAAAAATATATGGTTGTATTTTGGGATTGATCTGAGTTATATGTATTATGTATAGGTAACAGGTTCGTACCTATCATAGGTTCTGGTATTACACAACCCATCCATTTTTAATATTAATTAACGTTAGTGACTTTTATAAATGATCAATACAAAAAGTTATGTTTTTTTTTTATCGGTAGAGTTTGTAACTAATATAAAAGTCGGTCTTTGGTTAACACTTTAAGCGACATTTGGTTCGTAAATTGATATAAAAAAGTCTTTTTTTTAACCGATAGAAAACCTTTTGTACAATAGTTATATATATATATATATTAAATATCTATCATTATTACATCTTCTACTTAATCTACTCGTATTGATATACTTAATAATATGTATTCTGAATTATGAATATGTGTTTTTTAGTGTGATATAATTAAATGATACATTATCAGTGGACTAAAATTATTAATTTTTATAACTTGGAGTACTCAAATATGCAATATAAGTTTTTTACAAAAATAAAAACATAAATATATAAGTGAGAATGTGAATTTAAGTCGTGGTATTTCTTAAAATATGTTATTTTCTGTCTTCTGTCTCTTCTTCTTCTTTGATGTGATTAATTTATATACTTTATAAAAATAAACAATAGTTTTACAAAAGGCATTGAAGTGATGGAATATACTGTTTTTCTTAACTATAATTATCATTACTGTACGAGTTAATTTATAATTTTGGAATGGTAACATGAAAGATTATACATTCCTTTATCGTTTGGTGTTTACGATTAAGGTACGGTCTTTGGTAAGGATAATAAATAGTGTATGATAATAAGAGAATAATTAATGTTTTGTCTAGAAATATAGTTGATAGAAAGGGACGGGGGAAAGAAAAAGATGGAAGGTAAGTGAAGCAAGTGGGGTGAGGGTTACATTATTGTATCCTTTTGTCAGGTAAAAAAGAAAACAAAAAATAAAATAAAATCTCCGATTGAAAGTTTAATTCCAAAAGAGGAACTGAGGGAATTAAAAAGAAGATGGCTCAAATGGAAACATTATGTTCTATATTAATGTAATTAAAAATATAAATAACTCATTTTTCTTTTGTTTTGGTAAGTTTTTTTTTCTTTTTTTTCTAAGTCAACGTGGGAGATAAATGTATGCATGACAGTTTTCTGTATAGATACATAAATATCCATTAATGCATGTCCATTATTGGAAGATACAATTAACTAGACATTACATCTTTAAAGATTTCTTATAACAACTTTTCTTTATGTTTTCGTCAACGTGCGAATCAAATTTCAAGTTGTGTTTCATTTTGATATTAAGGAAAGTTAAAAGTTAGTTCAGGGGGTAATAGTTAAGAAATAAAATTAAAACTACAAATTTTCTATATATTTACGTAGGAGATTTTCTTTGGATAGTATTATTTTAATATAAGCAAATTTTTACTCACACTTATACCTGTTATTTTATTATTTAACTTTTTTCTATAAAATGAGTTGTTAACTTATGTAAATGTGGTGTAAACATTGTAAAAAATATTTTTCATTTTACTATATAAAAGAGGAATAAAATGTACGTCACAACTTTTGTTTCAGAACTGATTAAAGTATTAAATGGTCTCGATGAATGGTATTTTGACGTGTTGACTTGCACACCCAAGAAAAAGAAATAAAGGAGGAACTTAAATAAATTCTTGATGTTTGCACCAAGAATGTGAAATGTCTTAATGATAATGTGCATGCAGAAGATATACTCCTCCATCTCAGCCCTACAACAATAAAAACGTATATGACAGCATCTACTTCTGTCACCAAACTTTAGAGAGAAGACATTCAAATAAAACAAAACTTATAGGATTTGTTTCAGTAACATATTTCATAATTTTTGGTATGATAAACGAGAGCCAAGGGTCATCTTACTAACAAATGCAGTGGAACAGTATCTTGTAGAAATATTTATGTATACTGAAACAGAGTCTCTGATATAAGATGAAAGAACTTTTCAAATTATGACGTTTGATAGAGTTTGTATATGCAAGCATTTGCATAAAGATTCTTCTTTAATGTCTGGGTGAAATGGGTGATATGAAGTAGCAGAATACGTAGGGTATGGAACTTGTTTCCTTTGATAGCATGTGCATATATCCAAATTAATGTCCAAGTGGTCACTTACAGCTCGGACATTCACTACAACCGTACCTTAGGTAGGGATAGTGTCTCCTCAATATAGTCATTATTCATGTGCCCCTCATTCAATTTTCAGGTACTTAAAATTTTAGGTTGTAGATACTTCAATGTTTCCATGTTAAAATCAAATGAAAATCCACAGTGTTTTAAACTAAAACATGTCTTAGTAGCATAGCATTGGCATGATAGTAAATGATGCCAGCTCAGGACAGAAAATCATTCACTTGCCTTTAAATATGAAAGCTACCACTCTGCCACAAAATATAGCTGATAGAACAAACTCAAATCAAATGGCTATTTCAGCATACTGTCCCATTCCGTAGGTTGTCCCTAACATTAGTGTTTTCTTTTTTTTTAGTTTTTCTTCTCCTTATAGAGCAGAAGAAGCTGGCCAAATGTTCAATATTTATTGCTCTTTCAGCTGTGTCACAGTGCAGCTTTTTGCGGCAAAAAATATAGGAGCTTTTACTTTGCTTCCACCTCACAGACATATTTTTTTCACTTTCAGAGTTGAACGTTGATTTCATTTGCCATAAAAATATATAGCATAACCTAAAGAATTTCACCAACTCATTAGGCACTATATCTAACTAATCTTATATATACGAATTTTAAATGTTAAAGTATATCAAATCCTTAAAACATATTTTGTCACAAATTGGTAGTTTTGGAACTAATAATTTTTTTCTTATGTAGTCGGATAGAATAGGAGAGTGAAATTATGAAGAGTAAAAAAATAATATTGGTGGATCCGTAAAATAAAAATAAAGTGGGAATAGGATGGGTGCCCTAACACTTTCATTTCATTATTTATTTATTTAGTTTTCTATTGAGAAATTAAATTTTAATTTTTTCTACCACCCAAAATTTTATATTATTTGTGGGGATTGACTCCTCAAGGTTTGGGTATGTTTGATTGTAATTATGTGCATGTCATTCCCTAATACCCTAAACAACTCACCTCTTCATAGTCGTATTGGGCTGGAGTGGGAAGCTCTACGCTTTAGGGTACCAAAAGGAGCTGTGTTAGGCTTTGGAAACTAGTAGTTTCTTCTTTTCCATTTCCATATCTTTCCTCCTACATCCCCATAGTCATTTTTTATTTATTTCTGAATTAAATAACTTGGAAGTCAAAAATGACTTTGAAACATGTAATTTGAAAATTATTTTTGCTCTTAAAAAAAACTTTTAGAAATTCAAAAGTCATTTTTAAGAAAAATTAATTTTTGGATTTCACTAGCTGAGTTAATTTTTATTTTCATATTATATAATTTGAAAGGATGTGATAGAAGAAACTATTGGACCAATTTTAACGAAATTGTATAGGCTTTTGACCGAAGGCCAACTGTTTAACCGTATTATTGAAACTGGGAAAAAAATAATGGTGTACTGAAGAAGGGATATTTTCAGATAATTTTTTCCACAAATGCTTTTGGAATAAAAACAGATAATATTTTTTTATAAACTAGTTTATACACATCTTAAAAATTTATCCTGGAGAAATCAATATCATAGAATTTAAATAAATCAGCATACAGTAAAGTTATTTTATTTGTCCCTTTTATTTTATCTTGTGTTTATAAAGCATTGCGTTTAAATATAATATAACTACTGTGTGGATTTTCCATGATAATATATGTTCAATTTCATATTTTTGTGTGGAACAAAGCATGTGATTCTTATGTAAATTAATCATAGCTATTCCATTTTCAGGTAGATGAAGCAGAAGAAAACCCATCATGGAAGGCAATTGGATATTGTGGACCTGATCCAGAGCTTAAAGCACAGTTGAAGAACCACTTCTTACGTAGAACATTGAAGGAAGAAGAACATGAAAAAAAGGACAAGGATGATGATGATGATGATGAAGAAGAAGAGTTCAGAGGCCCTCTTCACAAAGGCCTTGTCCATTTAAACTATCCAATGGACATCATTAAAAATTCTCTAAGAAGATTTGGATTCTCAGTCTCTACCACGTCTAAAAGGAATAAGGCTTCTAACATGTCATCACCTTCTTTAGTTATCCAATGTGATGCAGTGGTTGTCGGTTCTGGCTCTGGTGGTGGGGTAGTAGCCGGAGTTCTAGCAAATGCTGGTTATAAAGTGCTGGTCTTGGAGAAAGGAAGCTATTGTGCTAGGAACAATCTTTCCCTTCTCGAAGGACCAAGCATGGATAAAATGTACCTCTCCAATGGTTTGGTTGCAACAAAGGATATGTCTGTCCTAATACTAGCAGGATCCACAGTTGGTGGTGGCTCTGCAGTGAACTGGTCAGCCAGCATTAGAACTTCTGAACATGTATGCAAGGAGTGGTGTGATCGCCATGAGCTAGAACTGTTTGAAAGTAAGTTGTACAAAGAAGCCATGGATGCTGTGTGTGACAAAATGGGAGTCCAATCTGAGATCCAAGAGGAAGGGTTCAACAACGAAGTCCTAAGAAGAGGGTGTCTAGAAATGGGATATCAGGTGTGCAATATTCCAAGGAATGCTTCATCCGATCACTACTGTGGTTGGTGCTGCATGGGGTGTAAGAACGGAAAGAAGAAAAGTACATCAGAAACATGGCTAGTGGATTTGGTGAAATCAGGTAATGGAGCAATCATTCCAAGTTGTGAGGCCATACAAGTCTTGCATAAGAGAAAGAAAGGAAGTGAGAGAAAAACGGCTTGTGGAGTGGCTTTTGCAATTGAATACAAGGGTAAAAAGGACATTTGTGTGGTGGAGTCCAAGGTCACAATCGTAGCCTGTGGAGCACTCAGTACTCCAGCATTACTTAAGAAAAGTGGATTGAAGAATGAAAACATAGGAAAAAACTTGCACCTTCATCCAGTTGCAATGGCTTGGGGCCACTTCCCTGATTCATCTTCACCTAATGTGTGGCCAGAGAAACATAAAAAGAGCTATGAAGGAGGGATTATGACAGCAATGTCCACAGTTGTTGCGCAGTTTGACAAAACTGGATATGGTGCAGTGATCCAAACGCCTGCATTGCATCCTGGTATGTTCTCCATTCTAATGCCGTGGACTTCTGGCAAAGATATGAAAGAT